GTTAAATTGTTTCATTAAATAGACTACTACCAATATGTTGTCTGTCAAAATGTTCTAAAACTTTATATCAATTTAAAGCTTTTTTTTTTTTTTTTTTTTTTTTTTTTGTAACAAAAGTGCCAACGCCTTTATATACATTGTGTTAGTTGTGCACGTTTCACTGGGTGAGCTTGCGCTGTCTCATGATTGGTTCGGGGCAGTGAATCAAATGATGTACAGTCGAAAGAAAGGGTAAATATATACCTTTAATTTGAACGTTTTCTTTCAAAGATCCGGTTAATGTAATTTACTGGTGAGCTTATCTTTTCTTTTCCGAAGTGAAACAGCACAATTTATCCGTCGAATTTAATTTCATCTCCCTTTGTTTGTCAATATATGCATTTTAATGGTCGCTCCATTTGTGTACAGGTGGGTCTTGGACATCCTTCCTGGACAGAGATGACCCTAGTGGTACGGGTGACTGGGAGAGCACACGCGCCTTTCGGGTAAGCGTCCCCATGTGGTTATTACGTAATATTCATACCGTTGGTCTTTCCTTAAATTATTTATTGTATAGCTTTAAATGAATAGCGGTTGCATTAAAGGTACATACGAAACGAGCATCAGTTGAGCGTGGATTCCCAGTAACACATGTAAACCACTTCCACTAGTTTCTTATAAGACTCAAATAAATTAGACATGCCAAGGGGTAAACTGAATAGATCACTCGATCAGCCATAAAAGAGCTTTAGACTGTTCCTTTCTTTGAAATTTTGGTCGGAAATTTAACCTACTTTCGTGACCCACTTTTCTGCCCCATTGACATACAGCATAGAAGGCTAGCAGAAAAATTCGTTCAAACATCATTTACGGGTAAAATTAAACAATGCCTTTTGGTAATTCTTAGTTATACTACTTCAAACTATATGCAGGCATTTGGTCGGTTTTTGTGACAAAAATGACTTTGTATGCATCTTTAAGGTATGTGTTATTAAAATTGATGCAAGGTTTTAAAACAAAGATAACAATTATAATTGAAGGCTACTTTTATATTGAGGATCATTTAAAAAACGTAAGAGAAGGAAAATAAGACCATGGGATTATAGAATATTTGATGTCATTTAAAGATAGGCAAGTCCATCTTTGACTTACATACGGTTTGTTCACATTTTTAGCGTTGTTCTCTACTTTATTTTTCCAGAGGTATACCAAAAATAACCTTTGCGGTGGTCGTCGCACAGTGTGCTCCCAATGTCGTGCTAAAGGCTCCCACTACCCTTATTATAAAACAGGTGACAGGTACAACGCTTACCACGACTGCAACTGGGAGAATGGGTTGGTCTGCACTACATCGGTCAACAAGAAGATCTGCAAGGACTACGAGGTCAGGTTCAAGTGCCCTACAATAGGTGAGTGGTGGTTGGGCAGATTCAGGGAATCGGACATTAAACATTGATTGGCCAACTTGGCATCTGTTGTTTCCACAGGCAGTCAGCAGTATGTCCGTGTACGGTATGTCTCTGTACGAGCAAATTATTAAAAAAAAATATGCAATTCTATCAAGGAACCGTGTATGTTCATTTGACAATGTACATGCAGACACGAGAGAATGTGCCTCACCTTATATAATGGGACCAAAGGCATTAAAGCCAATATTTTGCGTGTGAAACGTATCAGGAATGGAAAACTACGTAAAAATGTCACCAATATGCAAATACTGTACGTGCATATATTATATTAGTCAATATGGCGAAACATATTTGTGATATCTGGCACTAATTTCCAACATCTTTTAGATATTTAGGAATGGAAAATGTTAAATTTGCCTTGCATATGTTCATATTTCTCGAAGTCATGCATATATATCAAAATGCCTTACAGCTGCAGGTAACAGTAACTGTAGCCGATGCGCCAAGTGGACGTCCTGGAGGGACAGGGACAACGGTAGCGGTAGTGGAGACTTTGAATACGTGGGGAAACGAGGACATAACCCGGTACGTACTGGTGCCATATACATGTACCGAGACTTTATTTTAAATAATTAGTGTATGTATATTTACTACTGTAGTATATTACATCGCCCCTTTTTTTGCATTAAATTTTGGTCACATATTCGTCAACCAGTTAACCTCAAGACAGTTAAGGTGCATATTTGCCGAGGCTAAGCACTTATTTAATTTCGGTTAAATATATTGCTTAAGCGTTTAACTCTACTATGAATCCAGTCTTGGTCGTCTCTTTGGTAAGTGAATGGAGGCAATACCGACGCTGGTTTTTTCTTATCTAGCCCACTGCGACATATTATGATACCCTTTTTTAATCCGCTGTGACGAATATTGCTGATTTTATTTTAGTGCTCCGGTCGTGAACCACTTGATATCCAATGTCGCGTCAAAGCAACCAAGCAGTGGTGGTATACGGCGGGCCAGAAGATCAGAGCCAAGTGCACGCCCTCTGGCGGGCTGGTTTGCTTGAACAGAGATCAACCAAATAGGCAATTGTGCAAAGACTACGAAGTCCGATTTCTGTGTCCCTGACTCGATCTTGTTTAGGTCAGTAGCCTTACTTCAATGTGGGGGATGTATTGATTGCAGATGTCATATGGGTGTTAAGTCTTTACAGCTGAAATAAAGTAAAATTTGTCATATTATTGTGCTGATACCGGAGTAACAATGCAGTATTAAGTCTCTACAACTGTTTGTATCAAAAAGAATGTGGCTTTTAAAGACCTGCATTTCAAAGCATTTACATTTAATTAAAACCACCATGTTATAGAAGGAACAGTAAAAAGGTCGAAATGAAATAATCATATATTCCCCATCAGGGTAAAAGAAGTATTTTTTGATTATGGTTATTGATGTGCTAAGTTTTGTTTCTCTTAACGTCGTAACGTCGTGAAGATTATTAATATACTGTTAAAATGTAACAGTAGATGAAATGTGTTATTGAAACTGCCCTTATACGGTTACGAGAACTTTTGTATATCTTGTTTTTGTTACCCAAATAAATTACTTTTCCAGCAGATGTTGATTAAACCGTATGTTTTGACAACAGGTAATAATAATAATAATAATAATAATAATATATATATATATATATATATATATATATATATATATATATATATTAAAATTATTTAGAACGTCTATTTTTTCATTTATGTAAAGTTGGGCGAAGTTTCGGCGAAATCTCCAAAAGCACGAATTGAAAAATCTTTTCATGTAGACTTAACATACAGTGTGTGAATACTTTAAAAAAGCACCTTATAACCCGTTACAGTATCTCTTTAAAGCCCTCGCTGTTTCACTACATTGAAACCATTCTGTTCTCGCCTGGATCAGAGTAGTCTAAACCACGACGTCTTCGATCTTTTCAAGCTTATAAAAAGGTTGACTTATTGATTTGTGAACAGCACCTATGAAACAAACCAAAAACATTCCCAGTGGGTCTATTTGGCGTGGAAATCCAATCCTAATGGAAACTTTGGATCGACGCACCTTTTTCGCAGCTAGACTACCTACAATTACCTAAATTAACTTGAATTCCCCACATGTACTGCATCTGAAAAATGGGAAAGTCGATTTAAGAGCCATTATCTCCTCACGAGTAGCATGTTTCAAGGAAATCGGTCGTCGGTTTAACTTCAAATCAATATCTCTGCGGTTATTAATCACCAGTTTTAATGCAGTAGTTTGATTTTTTCTTTGCAATCAATAGCTCAAATACTTGTCCTCTTTTGACTTACAGGTAGTTTACAAAGACAGCGTTAAAGAGCATATGGATTTAAAGTTTTGGTTTACAGAGAAATGAAGGTCATAATTAATATCTTAAACAGACCTATTAAGAAACTAGAAAAGCACTCCGAGAGCGCAGACCTCCGCCAAGGCAGCGATTTATTATTATTATTGATTAATGATTGATTATTGATCCGGATCCCCACCAAAAACTAATCATCTCCTTTTTGACCCACTTCTGACAGTTCCTGAAAATTTGATCAAAATCGGTTCATAACTGTTTGAGTTATGTTGATGACAAACAAACAAACAGACAAACAGGGGTGAAAACATAACCTCCTTGGCGGAGGTAATTAAAAATGAAGCCTACTGGTACTGCAAATGCCATAACTTCTCTCATAACGTAATGCAAAAATGCTACAAATTTAAGCTATTCACGAAGCTACAGTTTATTATCATTATAAACGGGTCAAGTTGGCAAGAGAGGAAGTGAAATAATAATGTTGTTGGTATTGGCCTGCCGTTTTCATAGGTGAAAATGCGTGGACTGGCGCCTACTCGTCCAACCCCATCCCTCTCCATAAAGACCAAGTGCAGATTATTTCTTGAAAGACTCTAATTACCATATAGTTTTCAAACTTTCTTGCTACTGCAAGTGAAGGGGGGGGGGGATTATAGTGTCTTGCTGAATCATCTAGTGGCTGTGCAATTTTTTATTTCTCTTTTTCTGATATTCATTTTCTATTTCACTTCGATATTCTCTTCATTTTTGTTCTTGATCGAAGCTTAATTTGTTCTTTGATATAGCACTTGAAATTAGCATCATAGGACGCCAGTCGCTTGTTTCCTGCTGATATTTGTCTTCAGAACCCAACGAACGGATGCTCATCTAACCTTGGCCTTACCGCTGTTTAAAACTGTGCACATTGAAAAAATAAATCACTTTAAAAGAGATGTAGATCAAGCAGAGTTTACATGTTTATGTCAGAGTTGATGTCTGTACTGAATCACCACAGTGTCTTCTAGTTATCATTTAACGGGTGTATGGTGGGAGTTATAGAGCAAATTGCTGGGAATGCACTGAAATTAAGTTCGGAAGTTGCGTCTTATACAGTACCTCGCGTAGACTGCTGCATTTTCACTTGCTAACGTAGGCATCATCTACATGTACGTATATGTAGTCAGCTGGAGTACATGCAACAGCGATTCTACGGTACTTCACCGACGAAGGCATATTTTGTTCATGTTCTCTTAGAATTAGACTCTTAGACTCTCCAGATAGCTGAACGTGTTTGTGACTGAAGTGCAGCACAGGGCATTTTTCCACTTCGTTCAATGCGGCGGAGGGTTTCCTGTTCCTATGTGTGTCACTAGTGTACGTGTTCCCTTTGAGTTCACAACCACTTGAGGTACTCTGCACAACTCTGGACTTCAGCATCGATCTATCACGCTTCCCCTATTTTTCTCGGCGACTTACTCCAGCACAGAACAGTCAACGGGCACACTGACAATGGCATGGTGCTGTCTCACAGTCGTCTCCTGCGTTCTTATCGGTTTACTCCTGCTGAACTGGATCGCACGGAAGCTCACCATCGGGGCCAAAGTCTGCAGGGAGAAATACATTGCCATTACTGGGTGTGATTCAGGTTTTGGGTGTCTTGCGGCAAAGAGGCTGCATCGAATGGGGTTTAACGTGTTCGCTGCATGCCTTACAGAGAGTGGAGCCGAAGCACTGCGGAATGAAGTGAGTGGTACAAGGCATTGCTAAGTGTTACTTATACAAACCTCTGATTGAACGCGATTTATTTAAGTCGGGGAATAAGTCTTAACTTTGATTTGAGTCAGCGAAATAACATTTACGTTTGTTGGCACAATGCTTGCTTTTTAAACCTCCAATTGCCAGTGTTTATGCTTGAAAGCTAGTGGCTCCAATGCAAACTAAATACTTTTCTTGAACTATTTGAGTAAACTTAAAATATCGTTGATTAGATGGGCGCGTGGCCATGGCACCAACACAAAGATTCAACACTACTCGAAAATACTTGCACATTCTGTATTTAGTGCGGCAAATAATTGCCTATCCTGTACGTCCTCTTTAAAATGAAAGGAGGGGACTGCAATATTATTGAGCTACTTGGATTTTTTTTCATTCATTAAGAACTGATGTGAGGTATTTTTTAAAAAGTTTTTCAGTGATGTAAGACGAATGCTCTGTTTTCCCAGTCATTCTTCATATCATACTGTTCATTGCTCATTGCACGTAATGTGAGAACGCAGAAGAGATATTATGTGTCTTTGCAGGAAGCTCATGGGCCATTTATCAAGCCATTCATCATGGACATTGCTAGTTCTGAAAGCATAAAGAACGGTTTCGAGTTCGTGAAGGCCCACGTTCCCGGGGATATAGGTAATACGCGTATATTTATTCTTCAGAGACAGTTTATATCACTGAGACAAGAATAACGAAGTAGTGCATAGACTTGATGGATCTCTACACACAACCAGTATAATGTTCAGTAAATGCATTCAATTCAACCAGCATGTAGAGCCAGCATGAATTTATAGATCGCTTATTTACATTGCGTTGGCCTTTATGTTTTAAGCTGAATAAGTGTGACATTTTAATTGTGTTCTGGGGACGGCGCTTGTATTGCTTTCTAGGCATATATGCGACGTGTGTGCCTGTAAAATGCACTAGTGTGATCACGTTATTGTATCGTATTTATTGCAGTATTAATGTCAAATACAATATAGATATTAATGATTATTTAATAAAGCATTGACAATATAGATATACCGATATTTATGGTGTACATTCTTTGCAAAGTAGGTCTGCTCATATAGATAAATAATTCTGTACTATTCACTCACATCAGGTCTGTGGGGATTGATAAATAATGCTGGAATAGAGGGCAAGTATGGCCCCCTGGAGTGGCTGACCAGAGATGACTATCGCCATTGCATGGAAATCAACTTTCTAGGGATGGCAGAAGTTAGTATAACACCCATAAGCCCTAACTGAACGATTTGTCAACGTGTTTTGTACTAAACGTACTATTTACCACGTTCATAATGTCTCATGGGACATAATTGTCAGTTATTTGCCGTTCAGATAACTATTGCAAAATATTTAACCGGAAATAAATCAATCACCACTAAAGTAATGTGTATGTAAAATAATCCGAATTTTTTTGGAGAAATTTGTTGTATAATCTATCACCTAGGTAACCACAGTGTTCCTGCCCTTGCTGAAGAAAGGTCAAGGTCGATTAGTAAACACCAGCAGTCAGCTGGCTCGTCTACCTATTGGAGACTTCCCGTGCTACGTTGCGTCCAAGTGTGCAGTCGAGGGTTTCTCTGACGCTGCCAGGTCAGTTTACACGTACGCATGAATGAAGACACCAAAGGTCGATAAGTTAAGGCAAACAGAAATTGTGCTGGCAATGCCAAATGAGGCATGTGCTTGCTAATCAATGCATTGCAAATTGAAGCTAGGAACAAGAATGGATGAGATGCATATAAATGATACAGCAGGTAGAGTTAAGTCAATTTGCAAATCCCACGGCTGTATAGGCCCAGATAATTGATGGTAATACAGTCCCACCAGTGGTTGCATGATGTTTGGGTAAATCATCCCGGATATTAAAGGTATAATGTATGCGTCTAAAATTTCCCCAAACCCGTATTTTCTAAGTCTACATATTCTGCAACACTAGCTGTCTAAAAACTACCTTAAAATTTATTAAACCCCTAAAAGTATGTTTACCCAACGCCGATACTTTCTTCTGAAATGTACCAGAAGATAAACATCGAATTCAAGAGCAGGGCCGGTACGTGAATGGAATGGATGTCCTAGGAATGGAAGTCCAGGCTTTCATATCAGGGGTGCATCCAGGATTATTTGAAGGAGGGGGTGTCTGCAGTGGCGAAGCCGACCCTCCCCCCACCCCCACTTGGCGTGGGGTTGGTGTTCCACTGAAGGGCCCCGAAAAAATTGTATTATAGAGGGCGAATTACGGTGCCATTTGGTACGGTTTAGAACTATGATTCAGCTAGTCAAAATTCTAATTTCAAGAGGGGTCTAGAAATCGAAGGGGGGGGGGGGATCAGGGCCCCTTGACCCCCCCCCCCCTCTAAATCCACCACTTCATATGACTAATACAGGTTAGGGTTAGTTGGAGTATAGTATTGGGGTTAGTATATGAGACGAATGTCTCCTGTACAAAGTAATGGGAAGTGGACAAGGGATCCAAGGAGACTTTCCTTCCTGTTATAACGTGTTGACAATAATTCGTATGTATGTAAGCAGGTCAAAAATTGCTGTTTCATTAGGAAAATACATTATGGCGGGTAAATCCCGTATGGAGTCCCTACATGTACAAAGAAACGCCGGGGGAAGGGGCAATACGCTTTTGAATAACCCCTTGCAAAATTCTAGGATGAGTTGTGTTATACATGTTTTTTCTTATTTTTACTTTTCAGACAACAGCTGAAGTGCTCGAACATCAGCGTTCATTTGGTGGAACCTGGTTGGTTTAAGACTAATATCACCAGTGAGGAGAACTACTCCCACTTCATCCAGGCCGCCTTTGATGGAGCACCGCCAGAGGCGCAACAGGAATATAATAAAGATTTCATGCAGGACGGTAGGCATTTCGGACTGAGCTTGTGTCACTTAACTTTTGTCAGTACTTGTAAAAATCTCTCTCTCTCTCTCTCTCTCTCTCTCTCTCACACACACACACACACACACACACACTAGTAACCCATTTTTGTCTTTGGCATGTAAGTTGTTGCGTTTACTAGTGCTTGTTATTATAAATACATCCATATGCACAATTACTGATATCGAATTGCTTTGCAGCAACTGCTCTCATACCCAAGATTAATCAAAACTAAAAAGAATTATAAAATGCGCTGTATGTACTGTAAATTGACGTTTAATATGCGTCTATGATTTTATTTTTTAGTAAAAACCCGTCTGTTCGAAGCGAGAGACGCCCATGCCTGCATTAACGTCGACTGGGTTGTCAACGACTACATTCACGCAATGACGTCATGGTATCCCTACGCACGATACGGACCGAATGGTGCTTTTGCTACTGCGGTATCCTATCTTCCTGCGCCCCTGTCAGATTATATCGTAATAAACACAATGAACCCTGCTATCATTCACGCCAAAATGGACATGATTAGGAAACGCAACCTACCAAAGGAGTCTGAGAATGAAAAGAAGGAGGAGTGAAGTATACGGATATGAGTTGCAGCGTTCCATGATGTACGCAGCATTTGTATTCAAAAGAATTGATGCGCTTGTAACATAGACGTAGTTCATACTTGCAATTCCACCTGTACAATTTTATTAATATTGAATTTTGGAAGAAAACAAGATAAGGCTAAAATAGAAAGATTTAATTTGGAAAAGGTATGCATCCATAAAGATGAATTGCACAATTTATCTTCCATTCCGTTTATCGCCTCGCTTCCCCTTCATCCCAAACGTATTTTATCTCTAGGCAGTTTTACATTGCAGTAGAGCGATTTTGCTTCACCACAATACATTTATTCACCAGAATCAAAATTCGTTGAAAGAGTGATTATGAGGTACTTCCATAATTCTGGAGGTGGAAAAAACCGCGGGGAGGGGGGTGTGTGTGAAATAAAAGAATGGAAGTGAGGAGACAATTGAAGGGAATAATAGATTTATTTTTAATCCATGATGAAATCCGCTTTTGCGTTGTCGTTTGCAATACATATATTTAAGAGAGTTATCATGAATGAGATATGATAACCTGTATAGAAGTAGTGCATGCAGTGCATTTCTTTTATTGGTGTACATATATGTGTATGCATTTTCTATAAAATAACGAGCACAGCAGTGGGATATTCTTTATATGAAACAAAAATTTACAATTTAACTGCAAAATTTTAAACTGATTCACTTTTCTCAAAACATTTTATATTTATCCTCAAACGTCGACTGAAGTTTCTGAAAATAAGTCCCTGGCTGTAGTTTCTACAATATCGGGATGGTCATAAAGGGTGAATGATACGTATGTGAAAGGATGGCAGTCCTTCATTCGGGATGGTTCTCATCAGCTAACAATGTAAATGTTCTCCTTGTTTCTTTAATAACAAAATTGATAACAATAAATCAGCTTTTTGTACCATAAGTTTCCCATTTTTCTCATTTTACACACACACACACACACACACACACATATTTGCATATATCTGGATCGGTTTTGTCAGTTTCACGTTTTACGAACTTGAACAATTAGGTGTTATATAAAATCCCATACTTATACATCCATGATTAATAGCCACTATCTTGAACACAAATGCATGTATTAAGTTGGAATGTATATGCGGAGTTGGCAATTAAAAGAATTATAAATACGCCCTGTGTAATAAAAATTGCTGATATACTGATTGACTCTACTATAAATCTAAAATCCCTTATAAACCTTTTAACTTTCCCGGGATAAGCTAATATCAGTAGCTCAATTCGCAGCTGAGTTGACGAAGCGTCACAATATTAATCCCCTCATTTTTGTTTGCTGTCACTACACCACGATACCAGTGATTTAAAATCCTCATTTAACATCAATTATTCAACCTGGAAAAATATATGAAGAAAAGCACGCCAAATGATGACCTTGCAAAGGTTTCATTTGTAGAGCATGTGAGAGATGTATTTATGTAAACAGCTGTTAGGAAATCAATTAAAGAAAGACTCAAACACTACTATTTACTGTTTAAATCATGAGTACACCGTAGAAACAGAACTCTAGTAGTCAATACAGGTGTCATGGTGTGAGGCAACACACAAAGAAAGAAATAATGCCGGAGCCGTAACTTGAAGAGATGGGGAAATAATAACTATATAATCGTATTTGCTCCTTACACAGAGCATTATCCGTGACTGGCTGGCGCAGTGAATGACTTGTTAGAAACGGAAGGTAAGGGACATTTTCACTAATGATATAGTAACGTATTGGTTTTACTTACTTTCACAAGTTTATAGGCAGTGTTTTTTTTTTTTTTTTTTTTTTTTTTCAATTGACCTGATGATAATGTGATCGCTCGTATACAGCACATACTTTGCGGAGATGTGGCTCGTTTGTGAACCTGGTGGGAAAATGCGTACCAGTTCTAGAAAAAAAATGAAAAAAAAAGACATAATGGGTTGAAATTTTGTCTGAGAAACAAAACTTTTCCTCCTATAATTTGTGGATAGCCTGAAGTATTAACATCATTCTTACATTTGCCTGTTACATATATTCCATTCGTATTGTATACATCGACCATGTAAGAGGTGTATTTGCATACACATATTTGCACGTTGGAGTTCACAGATCGCCACTGTTAGACCTACGGTATGATAATGCTGACACATGTGAATGACCTCCGTTTGAAAACAGTATATCTTGCAAAAAGAAATGTACTCCTAGTTCTTTTAAATTCAATATGAAGTAATTGTTCATAGAATTGAAGGTTACTGCTATGGGCGGGAACCTGTAGCGTATAGTTCTGTGTTTAGAACCATTGTTTTGTTGTTCGTTAACAATAGCATTCACGTTTTGTTTTATTAGTACCTATTCTAATAACTTACATTAAATTATTATTTTTACGATATTTAAGACTGGATCGTGAGTGGTTAATATACACGTATGTTATCGAATTTCAATGAGGTAAATTATATAAAGCGGCATTTCAGTAACATTTCTTAGTCAGTGTTACTAAAACCATTTATATTTATTTATTTTATCTGCTTCTCACTTCTCAAGTACATTTAAACATACAGTAAATGCATTGAAAGAGGGTTAAGAGAGGTATTCTAAAAAGTAGCATATCTTTTTAAAATATTTCCCAAGGAAAAAAAAACTATACCTTGATACATCTAAGCTGCATAAAATACCATTTAATGATCTGATATAATGTAAATATTTTCACTTCAGTTACTGAATTAAAGTTTCTATACCTTACCCCATGTTTTTTTCCTTCGAACCATAAGAAGACTACATGTACCTCCGCCAAGGAGGCTATGGTTTTCGTTTTGTTTGCCTGTCGCCATGTCTAACTGTCTGTTAGCAACATCATGTTAAAAAATGTCCAACAAACACAGGGCGTTTTAGAACATTACCACAGCGTTACCATACCCTTTTATGTAAGTGTAATGGTGGCGTTATTACAGAATAACATTCTGTGTTTGCTGGGTGGACGGATTTTGATGAATTTTTCAAAAACTGTCGGGCCAAGTAGCAATCGAGTATATTTTGGTGGTGAGCCAATGATCAATTAAGTAGTAATGAGACTGCATCTGACTAGTTGAAGCTTTGTGTTCTTTAAGTGCTTTTCTACATGTAGTTGTACCTGCATTTCACTTACGAGAGGCGTAAACTCCATCGCGTTCTAAGTGAAATGCAAGCGCAGTCGTCCTTTGTTCGAAGTGCTTGTGGGATTAGTCAGTTACAAGCATTTGCCATCGTCCACTGTATTAGATCGTTTTGTATGTCGCATACAATGGAGGAGTGTTGTGACTGAACTTAATGACAGATTATATGGACAAGTATCTTTCCTTGCTATTTGTCCACCGTCTATGTTACAAAAGACTGCCATTACCTAGTGCTTTAATGTATTCCCTTTACCTGTCTTCTGTTTGTTAGTTAAACTCCAGTATTTTGAACGCCTTTCCTCATTTTCTTTTCACCAAGACGAACATGTACCACCACAGCTGAGCATTTCACGAAGAGACTACTGCGTGGAACACTGCGCCTCTTATGTAAGCCTTTGTTCTGTGAAAAAGTTTTGTTGCACCGACATTTCATCTTCCACAAACGCATTTTGTTTTTATATAATCTTTTAAACTTATGTTGGCTTTCCTCCCTTCTGTTGAGCATTCTGCCACTTACACCTATACCCGCGGCATGGCTCCTTTTCTACCCTGTCACTGCTCAAATGTCTTCATTTTCAACTGGTGTGTTTTAAATCCGCTGTTCAATGCATCCTTTACTTTACTTGACAAATTATAATTCTTAGATTTAGACGTGGTGTTAATCAGCCTATTAGTATTGGATATCATATTAGAAGGTGTGTGTCTGTGTGTGTGTGTGTGTGTGTGTGTCTGTCTATGTGTGTGTGTGTGTGTGTCTGTCTGTGTGTGTGTCTGTGTGTGTCTGTGTGTGTGTGTGTGTGTGTGTCTGTGTGTGTGTGTGTGTGTGTGTGTGTGTGTGTGTGTGTGTGTGTGTGTGTGTGTGTGTGTGTGTGTGTGTGTGTGCATGTGTGCATGTGTGTGTGAGTGTGTGTGCGTGTGTGTGTGTGTGTGTGTGCATGTGTGCATGTGTGTGTGTGCATGTGTGCATGTGTGCATGTGTGTGTGTGTGCATGTGTGCATGTGTGCATGTGTGTGTGAGTGTGTGTGT